CTCATGGGGAGATCATTAGCAGGAAATTGGGATTTGCTGACAGGCATGCTATAGTTAACCCAAGGGGCCTCAGTGGAGGATTGGTACTTTTTGGCAGACAGATGTGGAGATCATTCAGCTAGTTACCAAGGATTTTTACATTGCTGTGAATTACAAGGTTGATAATGAGGATAAAGGTTGGGGATTTTTTGTCCATACGAGCACAGACAGAACTACTAGAGATTCCCAAAGGTTATAGTTGGAACAGGATAAACACTCATGGGGAGATATTTGGTTCATAGTGGGTGATTGGAATGATTTGTGTTGCATGGAGGATAAGCAGGGAGGAAGAGTCAGAAGTGAGAGAAGTTTTACTGATTTCAACACTTTCATAGCCAACATGGAAATGGATGAAGTAAGAATGGATGAAGTAAGACTGGATGGCTATCAATTCACATGGGGAAACAGCCGAGAAGCAAAAGGCTTTGAGGAAGAGAAATTGGACCGAACATTTGCATCCTTTGAATGGTTCAACTTTTACCCCAATGCATCAGTCTTAAACATTGCTAGAAGTGCATCTGATCATTCTCTCATAGTCCTCAATACTAGGAACAGTTCAGACATGCAGAAGAGGAGATTTCGATTTGACAAAAGGTGGATTGAGAAAGATGATGTCTCAGAGTGGTTCAGAAAGCTTGGAGTATACCTCAGTTGGGAACTCCATTCTTCAGATTAAAGGAGAAGATGAAACACACGAGACTGACATTGCTTATTTGGAGTTCCAAGTTCAAATCTCTGAATCAGGCAAAAATTGAAACTTTAACCAAACAAATGGAGGAGCTCAAGTCTGCTGGGAGGAAATACAAATGGGAGGCTTGGACTACAGTCCAAAACAATCTTGAAGAGGCACGTCAGTTTAAAGAAACATTCTGGCAACAGAAAGCCATAGTCCAATGGTTAAGGGAGGGTGACAACAGTCCAAAATTTTTCTATGCCTACACCCTCCACAGAAGAAGGCAAAATGTTATACCTAGTCTCATCATCACAGAGAGGAACAAAGTTTGTCAATCCAGAAGTGAGATTGAAGAGCATATTACCAGCTACTTCTCTTCTCTTTTTACCTTTGAAGGATCTTGGGGAGGGGACTCTATGCTGCATCTCATCCCTCAATCAATATCCTCAGAGATGAATCAGGAGCTGCTTAAACTTGCTGAGGCAGAGGAGATCAAAGCTGCTCTGTTCAGCCTCCACCCATATAAATCTCCTGGTGAAGATGGTATTCAACTTCACACTTCTACAAGGTATCTAGGACTCCCTCTTGGTATTGGAAGATCCAAGAATGAGGTTTTTTCTTATGTCTTTGAATCCGTTAAGGAAAAACTTGGGAGTTGGAAGAACAAATTGTTGTCTCCAGCAGGTAAGGAAATCCTCCTTAAAGCTGTTATCAATGCTTTACCTGCGTTTACAATGTCATGCTCCAAGCTCCCTCTCTCTATTTGCAGAGCCATTTCTAGCCTTAGTGCTCAATTTTGATGGATTAAAGGTGAATCACAGGATAGAAACATGCACTGGAAGGCATGGAAATATCTTACACTTCCTTAGGCAAAAGGTGGTATTGGCTTCAAAGAAGTAAGTCTTTTCAATGAAGCTCTCATATGCAAACAAATGTGGAGAATTGCTACAGAACCAGATCTCCTAGTGACCAGAATCTTGAAATATAGGAGCCACATTACATGGGTCAAAGAATTGATGCTTGAAAATGGCTTAGAATGGAATGTATGGCTGGTGCAACAATTGTTTAATGCAGAAGACAGTCAAGCTATTTTAAATATAAAGGCTTTGAATCTCAGGAAAACAGACATGTTCTATTGGTGCTTGGATAAGAAAGGTTTGTTTTCTGTATCTCCTATATACTCATATCTGATCAATCAGAAACTTCTTCATTTGGATATCCCATGCTCTAGTTTGTCTGCAACTGAAGCTAGAGAAGCTAGGCTTAGAAGTTTGAGTTTGAGGATTAAAGGTACTTTCAAACATTTCATCTGGAAATACTTTACTGGACTTCTTCCTGTGAAAACTAATCTGCAGAGAAGAGGAATCTCAGTGGATGTGCTCTACCCTTGCTGTGGAGAAGCTCCTGAAACGATTGAGCTTGTCTTTTTTCACTGCCCGAGAGCTCTAATGCTTTAGAATGTGGGACCTATCAAATGGGAAGGTGCAGACTCTGAAGGATGCACATTCAGGTCTTGGTGGTGGCACCTCTGCATTATTGACAAAACTCCAGTGGCCGAAGATCGAATTCAACTCACAACATACCTAATCAGGTGGCTCTGAAAGTGGAGAAATTTGTGGCTTTTTGAAGAAGTAAGCATGCCAATCCTGGTGGAAATAAAAACAGCACATAGGGAATGGCTGGAATTCAAAGTGGTGAAGTGTTGAGCAGGTTTCAAGCCCCAGCAGTCCAATGTTTGTATATATTTTCTGTTTTTATCGTGTTTTTGTTTTTGTTGTGTTGTTGTTTTCTCTTATTTGAAGTAGGATAGCTAGCTAGGCATTTTATGCAGTGGTTGGTGATGCCTTCTTCTTTGTTTTAGTTTTTTTTGGTTTGGTTTCATTGAGCTCTAAGCCGCTTCCATGCGTGTCCTCCCATTCTTGTTTTTTGGTTTTGTTTTTTAGGCTTTGTTAGGCCTGATGATGTATTCGAATATTGTTCCCATTTGAGTTTTATATATACATCCCTCTATTGTTTCGGGAAAAAAAAGACATGACTGCAAACCTCGGGAGATTCATCAATTTCTTAAAAATAACACAATTTGCCGAAAAACAAAAAGAGAGGCGACACCACGATTATATTAATGAGAAGATGGTTGTTATCATCATCCACAAGACATAATTAATTAGGAAAACTTATAAAAAACAACCATACATGCTCATTATTCTAAGGTCCACACAAGCTGGTACAGAATGTGGATCCAATACAAACACCCACAACATTAAAACACATTGCTCATACATTTTAGTAGCTAGAGTTGTCTCATGACCAAATTCAAATGTGACAACAACATTACACATATATATATAATAAAACATACTGCAATTTCACATACATATGATGAATTTACTATAGATTAGAGCTCTGTGAGGATGAGAGGGGCACCATACTGTGGGTGGATGGTGAAGTCAACCTTGGGTCCATGCTTATAACTTGGGGAAAGATCTATAGAGAATTTCCTCAGAAGCAAAGCAATGAACACTTTCAGCTCGATCACAGACATATTTTGACCAATGCAAATTCTGGGCCCGGACCCAAATGGCATGAACTGGCCCAACCCATACTTCTTGGTTGCCATGGCAACTCCATCCGCAAACCTCTCGGGCTTGAACTCGTTGGCATCATTTCCCCACAACTTGGTACTCCTATTTAATAGTAGAATGGGGTATGTCATGAGAGTGCCTTTGGGTATCTTGTACTCTCCTATCTTTGAATCATCCACTATAAGCCTCGATAACTCCATACTAGATGGGTATAGTCGCAGCACCTCATTCATGATCATTGTTATCTACATGAAAAAAAAAAAAATATTAATAATAATTCAATAGCATTAATTAAACTTAGTGAAAAAATTCTTATACCTAGCTAGCTTCAACATATATGGCAAAAATTCAATTTTGGTCTGTTTACTTGTCTAAAGTCCTTCAACAAATTTTAAGAAACTTACGACTTTAAGTTGACTCAAGTCATCAGCAGAAATCTCTTTTTTGTCTCCGATCACCCTCATGACCTCTTCCCGAGCTCGATTTTGCCAGTCTTTGTGAACTGCGAGATTGATCATGGTCCAACATGTTGTATTGGAAGAGGTCTCGAAACCGGCGAAGAAAAATATCTTGCATTGTCCGATGATGTCCTCTATCATTTTCTGGCGATTCCCACCGCCTTTGGTTTGCTCGTCGTTGTATAAGTCCTCCATGAATATTTCCAACAAGTCCTGATTCTTGGAAGTCGTGTCTCGTTCTCCTCTCCTCATCTTTTCGAGCCTTTCATTAATCATAGACGTGAAAGAGTCTTCTATGAATCGATTCACTTTGTGAGCCTCTATGTTCTTCTTGGTAGGAAAGTACCTTTAACATGAGAAGAACATGTGAAAAAACATGATGATAAGATTCTAAATAGTTTCAAGTCCGTTTACATATTATTGTGAAATTGTGCAGTTCGGTTGAAATTATATTTCGTAAACATTATAAAGTAAAGATAATCATGTTATTAAAAAACAAGATTAACGACAGCATACAAATGCACCTCATTCATGTACGTACATTTTATCATTTTGGTGGACAATTTGTTGGAAACGAATCTAGTGAAGATAAAATTGTATATTCAATTTGATAGATAAAGCCACATGGGGCAATTCCCACTGTGTATACGTTTCAAATTCTCAAGCTCCATTTGGTACAATATATAATATTGAAATCCTCAAATTCTCAATTTAATTTGATAGATAAAATTCAAGTTCATTCTTTTGGTTATTAGGTCGTGTTTGTTTATCAATTATTTTAATTCATATTTAAATTCTAACTCAACTTTAATTCTATCTCACTATATATCTTCAACATTATTAATATAATTAAATAATATCAACAATCATTCTTACATATCACATCAACTTCAATTCACTATTCATCCACTCAATTAATTTTCAGTAATCATCACTTTACATCATCTCTGTCATACTCTTACATCAATTTTTAATATAAACTCCAAATTCCATTAATCACTAAACAATACCAATTTTTTCCAAAATTAAACATAACTAATAAAAAAAATTAGTTTTGAGCGGATATTTATGTATACCAACACGCCCTTAGTGAATGTGGGAAACGTAGGTCAATAAAGTCTATGTAAATACTTACTTTTGTCCAGGTAGATTCAAGAGATCAACGGAGAGTCTGCCTAAACCTTCCAACTCGACGAGTTTGAAGAAAGTTTCTTTAACCTGACCTGTGTATGGAGAGTTGAACATCAACTGTGCCAAAACTGAACTTGTGTAAATGTCCAAATGCTCTTTCACGTCTATCACGTTAGACCCACCGCCTGCTGACGTAATCTTCTGCCATTCATTTAGGACGTTCTCACAACATACTTGCACCTTAGGCACCAGTGGCTGTAAAAACAAATTAACAGCACCATAGGTAAAAAAGTTGGTCGGTCATTAAGTACTTAATTACTTATATAACAAACACCAATTAATTTCACACCTTCAAATTGGTGGTGTGAAAAGCCGGGTTGAGCTGAGACCGGGATTTGAACCATTCGTCGCCTTCCATGTTAGCAAGCCCTTTGCTAATTAGCATCTTAGCAATTGGATTATTAGCTTTAAATGGCTTCTTATATTTGCGATAATTGATCATTAGCTCTCTAAACACACTAGGCTCTGTTATGTAAACCCGCGGTCTAGGCCCCATCCAATTGAATGAAAAATTTCCTGCATCAAGATATTTATTATCAAATATACTATTAACATTAATCCAATATTATCACTATAGCCTGCCTATTTACCATATATTTTGACCACTGTCCACTAGTTGTTACTGTTATGTAAATACATTTTTTTTTTATTATTATTATTTTGGGCTGATGAATTTTGCGTTCGAATGATTGGTGTCTTATTAATTGTTTCATCAATAATTTGAATTATTATTCATATACTTAACAATCACCCAAGCATAAACCTTAACAATCACCCAAGACATAAAGAAATGATGAAAATCAATTAGGACAAGACATATTATTTACAGGAACAGCAAACTCAATCAAAATAAATATATAACACCAACTCACTATTGCCTGTTATAGATTGAGAAGAGAAGTAAGAAGGTGTTTGTTTATTAAAAACATCTAATCATATTCAATTCATACTCAAATTTAATTCAATTTTAACTTAACCTGATTATCATCCAATTTTATCAATATAATTAAATATTATCAATCAACCATTTCTACACATAACATAAACTCTAATTCTTTATTCATCAACTCAAATAAATTTAACTAACTATCACTTCACATAATCGTTCTAAAAAGAGTAAAAAAATATAGTTTATTTGTATCCAAACACGCCCTAAAGGTACCGTATTTGTTGACGGTGTCGAGAATGTTGGGCATGAGACGAGGCACGATATCATCACCAAAGTCAATGGGTTTGGAGAAAGCCTTCTTGTAGAGTTCATCAACTCCTTTCATGTCTCCTAACAAAGGCTTGTATGTAGTGCCTTTCATGCCCTGTTTTCTGAATAGCCTCTCGATCCTTTTCGGCCTCACCCAAGCCCAGTTGATGAATTGCCATGCCAAAACTCCTATAATGCTCAACACTGGAAATATCACAAATTTCAACATTCTTTATTATTATTTTTTTTTTTGTTCTTGTGTCTAATTTTGATTTGCGTTTGGTTGAGGACTCTCCTCATACTTTGCCCCATATATAAGTAAAATAATGGTGTAATAATGTAGGGGCAGTGAGTTTTGGATTTTTTAGATACTTTAACTGGGTGGGTGCCGTCAAATAAGACTGGCCTTATTGAAAAAAAGTTTACTATTCAAATCTGTGTTATTGTTAAAATTTGACCCCCCAAGAATTTCAAATATAGTATTTTATTTTACTTCATCTCGGAAATGATTAGCAAAATGTCTGAAACACAGGAATTTTGTTCAATCCTCGTAAGAGAGGGATATAGTCGCCCTTTTATTTTTGGAAATTAACTATCAGGAATGGACATGTACAACTTCATACGGTAAAATATTTTATTGAAATAATTCGAAGATAAAACGCAAAACTATAATATTTTATTTCATGTGGAGAATAGAACATAATGTTATTAAACATTTTAACACCAAAACTAAAATATTTTATTTTATGTGGAGAATAGATCATAATGTTATTAAACATTTTAACACCAACATGCATAGATTTTCATCATAATTTGGTCCTATTAGAACAAAAAGGAAAGTCTTTTTTTTTTTTTTTAACAAAAAGGAAAGTCACCTATTTG